TTAAGCTCACTAGTTTATAATTCGAAACTAAGGACCTGTTACCTTTTTTATAGATGGGTATCATATTTTCAATTTTCTGTGAAAGGGGATGATTAATTTCAGTTCTGTTTTCTCTGGGCATCAATGGAGATGCTCTATAATAGTTTTGTTTAGCTTAGTGCATGAATTGGATGAAACTTGTGTTGCATAGTGCAGATGTCTTGCTTTAATAGGCTTGGGATGCAACTCTGTGAAGATCTTAGGAATAGACTAAACACTGTTCTTTTCCTGTTAATAATGGTTGTAAAATGAATAGGCATAACTTGGTGTGTGCAGGGTACCTGTAAACAGTGCAGTCAATTCATTAATCATCTTTGATAACTAGTACATGTATATCTAGGTGTTATGCAGGGTTCTGCATGACATCGTAATGTACATATAGTGGAGAAGTGTGCCATAATAGTATGAATGTTATAATTGTAAATAATAATTTTATAATTCATAATGTGCATTTGGGGGCACTGTAAAGTACTCTAAATGTAATTATAAAGAAATCCTGCTAGGTAGTTATTTTCCAACTGTGTTTGGGTACGCGGGGTAAGCAGGGCTTGGGGCAGTCACGTGGGGTCAGCATGGTGTGGAGGCTGGCGTCGGAGATGCTGTGTGTTTAAGCTAAGTTTGTAGTTGTGTACTCCTTTTGTTTAGCCATCTCAAACCATAGGCTCTTCTATGGCTTACCTGTATGCCCACCTAGGCTCTGACATGGTCAGGGTGCTGTGGGATGAGTGAGGAAATAAGAAATGGGGTTTGTAGTGGAGTAGTGACGGCCTGGCGCTGACTAAACCTAGTGGTTATGGTGGCTGGGCTTCCAGCCAGCTGTTTCTTGTGTACCCTCATTTTAGGCATTTAGGATTATGGTGTTTCTAGAGTGTGTATATAATGTTATGTTGAATAAATAGATATATTTTCCTAACTGGGATTTTTTGCCTAACCCTCTGTTAACCAATCCATTGAAGTAACACATGCTGGTTTAGCGCTTTCTGTTTTGACTGGGATAACCCTGGGTGGCCTGTTCATGCTTGAGATGTGTGTAACTTTTACCTTTGCCCTTAGACAAGGCTCAAGCCCACAGTGTAACACTAGGGAAAGTAATTTGTTTACAGAAAACACGTTTGCACACACACACAGACAAAAAAAAACAACAAACACATCCTCCCCTCACACACACCACACATACATACTCACACTACATACACACACCAGGGGCCAGGAGCTGCGATTCAACCTCTGCCACCACAAACATGCATGCACATATAGAACTGTCAGGAAGTGGAACAATATAGAGAGTGATGTAGTGGAGGCAGGATCCATACGTAGTGCGCAAATTAATTGGGACAGGAGTAAATTTTGAGATAATCTCAAATGTCTCTGGCTTAATTAACGTATGCTTGGAGAGGGTTTCGGGGCTCAACGTCCCGGTGGCCAGGTCTGTGACCAAGCCTCGAGGTGGATCAGGGCCTGATCAACCAGGCTGTTAGTGCTGGCCGCACACAAACATATGAACCCGGCTGGTCAGGTACTGACTTTAGGTGCCTGTCCAGTGCCTTCTTGAAGGCAGCCAGGGATCTAGTGGCAATTCCCCTTATGTATGCTGGGAGGTAGTTGAACAATCTTGAGTCCCTTATGCTTATTGTGTTGTCTCTGAGCATACTTACGGCACCCCTGCTTTTAATTGGGAGATGTTGCAACTCCTGCCGAGTCTTTTGCTTTTGTTCGGAGTGATTTTTGTATGCAAATTTGGTACTAATCCCTTTAGGATTTTTCAGGTGTATATTATCATGTATCTTACCTGCATTCCAGGGAATACAAGTAAAAGGACAAACTGTTCCCAGTAATTTAGATGCTTTATCATACTTATGTGTGCTGTGAAGGTCCTCAGTACATTCTCCAGGTCAGCAATATCACCTGCCTTGAAAGGGGCTGTTAGTGTACAGCAATATTCCAGCCTAGAAAGAACAAGTGATTTCAAGAGAATCATCACAGGATGGGAATCCCTAGTTTTGAAGGTTCTCATTATCCATCCCATCATTGTTCTAGCAGAGGTCGTAAATACATTGTTGTGATCTTCGAAAGTGAGATCCTCTGACATTATTGCTCCCAGATCCTTCACAACAGTTTTTCACTTTATCATGTGGTTGGAATTTGTTTTATACTATAATGTAGTTTTAATTTCCTCAAGTTTTCCATATCGGAGTAATTGAAATTTCTCTTCACTGAACTTCATATTGTTTTCTGCGGCTCATTTAAAGCTTTGGTTGATGTCCACTTGGAGTCTTGCAGTGTCTTCGATGAAGGACACTTCATGGAAATTTGGGTGTCATCTGCAAAGGAGGACATGGTGCTGTGGCTTACATCCCTATATCAGATATAAGGATGAGGAACAGGCTGGGGGCAAGTACTGTGCCTTGTGGAACAGAGCTTTTCACCATAGCTGCCTCAGACTTTATTCTGTTTACTATTACTCATTGTATTCTATTTGTTAGGAAATTATAATCCATTTACCAACTTTTCCTCTTATCCCTTTATCATGCATTTTGTGTGCTATTACACCATGGTCGCACTTGTCGAAGTCTTTTGCAAAGTCTGTGTATGCTACATCCACATTTTGTTTGTACTCCAGAGCATAGTGGTCCAGCAGTTGGAACAGGCAGGAGTGGCCTGTTCTAAGCTCATGTTGCCCAGGGTTGTGTAACTGATGGATATCTAGATGGGTGTCAATCTTGCTTCTTAGAACCCTTTCAAAGATTTTTATGATACAGGATGTTAGCACTATCAGTTTGTAATTCTTTGCAGTTGCTTTACTGCCCCAATTGTGGAGTGGGGCTGTCTGCTGTTTTTAGTGACTGTGGGATGACCCCTGTGTCCATGCTTCCTCTCCAAGGCATGTGGCAGAAGCTTCTTGCAGTTGTTGGTGAACACAGAGTTCCACAAGTCTGGGCCTGGGGCAGAGTATATGGGCATGTCATTTATTGCCTCTTTGAAGTCATATGTGTTAGGATAATACAGTGGACCCCCGCATAACGATTACCTCCGAATGCGACCATATAAGTGATTTATGTAGTGCTTGTACGAGTTGGGGTCTAATGGACTAATCACTTCACGTTTTTTCTTATGGGAACAAATTCGTCGTACTGGACTGAACAACTTGGATAAAAAAATCTAACCGGGGTCCTATCGAATTTTTATTGACCAAATTTTGAGTCTCGTCATAAATTTATTTGGGTGACACTCTTGTCTGGTTAAAGGATCACAAAACACAAGTCATACTGGAACTTTGTATTCATTTTCTTGCTGTCGTGTTTGTGTACTCTCGTGTGTGTGTGTGTGTGTGTGTGTGTGTGTGCGCGCGCGTTTGTACTTGCATGTGTTCCTGTTTCTGTACGCTCATGTACTGCCTATTTATGGTTGCAGGGGTAGTCATAGCTCCTGGCCCTGACTCTTCACTGATTGCTACTAGGTCCTCTCTCTCCCTGCTCCATGAGCTTTATCAAACCTCATCTTAAAACTATGTATGGTTCCTGCCTCCACGACATCACTTTCTAAGCTATTCCACTTCCTGACAACTCTATGACTGAAGAAATACTTCCTAACATCCCTTTGACTCATAGAAGTCTTCAACTTCCAATTGTGACCCCTTGTTTCTGTGTCCCATCTCTGGAACATCCTGTCTTTGTCCACCTTGTCAATTCCTTGCAGTATTTTATGTCATCATGCCCCCCCCTGACCCTCCTGTCCTCCAGTGTCGTCAGGCCGATTTCCCTTAACTTTTCTTGGTAGGACAATCCCCTTAGCTCTGGAACTAGTCTTGTTGCAAACCTTTGCACTTTCTCTAATTTCTTGACGTGCTTGACCAGGTGTGGATTCCAAACTGGTGCTGCATACTCCAATGTGTGTTTACTCACCTAGTTGTACTCAGCTAGTTATGGTTAAAGGGGTTGAGTCACAGCTCCTGGCCCTGCCTCTTCACTGGTCGTTACTAGGTCACTCTTCCTGCTCCATGAGCTTTATCATACCTCTTCTTAAACTATGTATGGATCCTGCTTCCACTACATTCCCGAACTTCCACTTCCTGACAACTCTGTGACAGAAGAAATACTTTCTAACATCCCTGTGATTCATCTGAGTCTTCAACTTCCAACTGTGACCCCTTGTTGTTGTGTCCCATCTCTGGAACATACTGTCTCTGTCCATCTTGTCGATTCCTCTCAGTATTTTATATGTCATTATCGTATCCCCCCAATCTCTCCTGTCTTAGTGTCATCAAGTCAATTTCTCTTAACCTCTCCTCATCGGACATACCCCTTAGCTCTGGGACAAGTCTTATTGCAAACCTTTGCACTTTCTATAGTTTCCTTACAAGCTTGGCTAGGTGAGGATTCCAAACTGGAACCCTCACTTAGAGTGCGATCTGTTCGAGTACCGAATGAATTTTTCCCATAAGGAATAATGTAAATTAGATTAATCCATTTCAGACCCCGAAAATTACATTTACAAAAGCATTTTAACACAAAGTTTACAAGTCTAGCATGCATAAATCTAGAAAAGAAAGAAACTAAACACAATAAATAGATGAAATAATGCAAATTTATTCTCATTTTACCTGTAACTGGAGAGTTGATGGTGTATGTGGAAGATGGAAGATGTTATTGTTTATCACCTTCCATAAAAATGGCAGGTAACTGTGCTTCTGGGGTTCTTTCTCTTTTCTGTCTTTGTGCTTTCTTCCTGAGACTCCCTGGGTCTCTGTTTCACTAGAAAAATGTCTAATAAAATTTGCTTTTGCCTGCGTTTTAAAATGTTTCTGAAGCGAGACATAGCATTATCATTCAGCAGGTTTATAACACGATTTGCTACAGCTTTGTCTGGGTGATATTTTTCAAGAACATTTTGCACTTCCCCCCATTTGGCATACATTTCTTTTACAAGAGCAGTAATTATGGACAATGAGAAATGCAAAAATATCAGATGGTAGTTCACATTTTATTTTTCTCACATTATAAAAGTTATTAGTTGCTTATTAGACAATTAAAAATAATTTTAAAATGGTTATAGGGGCAAGAGTGATATTAACTGTGTAACAGCATGATGAAAGTGGCTAACAAATGCTGGTGTTGTACAAGAATTGGCTTCAAAATTTGATATCCTATGGACAAGATGAGCTTGTCTCAGGACTTCTGGAGTGAGAGTCACTGATCTGGAGGGTAGTCCAAGATCCATTACCCTCCTCTCTATGGCTGCTCTTAATGACAGCACCACTGATGGATTTGGACCCTCAAAGATAAGTAATGTTCTGTCATCTTTGATGGAGCAATGAATATCAATGCGGTCATCATGATACCACAGGGAAACATGAAGAATATTTTTCTCACTGTTTTTCTGTTCAAGATTTAATGGTGGAATGAGACCAAATAAAGATTCAAATAAAGATGTAACTGTTTCATGAGTTATGTATGATGTGCAAACCTTGCAAAAAGGAACTGGATTTTGATTAATATTAGATTTGTAATTTCCAAAGGCTTGCTCTTCAAATGTCTTATATAAACTAATGCCAGATGTTTGAAAAGAAAGACTTGTAGTACTTAACTTACGCTGACAAGTGAGGAAATGAAAAATGTCAACTTCTGCTTGACATGCAAAGACTTGACACACTGGCTGAAATGATGAGAAGTGCTCTAATACCAAGTAACATTTAATAGTTATGCTATTTAGGCTATTTTTAAGATTGAGTGCTGGTATAGGTACAGACATACCCATACCAGTTGCAAAACATTTACTATCAAGCTTTGCACTAATAAAATAATCACCATTATACCCAGGAACAACTATACAAAGTCTCCACCATTTTCCCTCTAAATTAATGTTGGCTTTTGGTTTACTGAACTGTATGTGTGCAAAGTAAGAACTGCTTTGCATAATGCTGTGTTCCACTCTGACACTTGTTGAAAATAGGGGGAGGCGTGGTTCTGTTAAAAGTCTGTGTGCCAGGCTCAACTGTCTAAGATAGATATCCAAGGAACAGATGCTTTTACCTTCATCATACATGAGTTGTGAGCACTGCTGGATGCCAGTCATCATCCCCTCCACTGTGTTAGGCAGTTCACTGCTCATCAAGTTGGAGCATACCTTATTCTCACTTTTATTATTTTCAGTCAGAACTTTCCAGCAACACTGATATTTTCGTCCATCACATGTTAACATTTCAATACAGTCCATGTTTTTACAAGTAATTTGCATAACTCCATTATATGATAACTCATGGCACTCCACTTCCATTTCATCACCGCCTACAGCAGTAATACGACACAGCCAGCATGAAACACCATCAGAAAAAACAAGAGCATTCTTCTGACCATAACATGTTACTGCAGCTGTTGTAAGAGTTCTTGTAGACCAATGTAAGTTGCCTTTACCATAGTTTTCATCTCTTGTAGTGGAAGTGTGTAATACTGATGATGGTACTGGTTTTCCAATGGCCATAATTGCATTCTTGCCAACAACCACAATAACGGATGTATCACCAACTGAAATAATTCATATCTATCATATTCTAAACTACATTATTTCTTTGCTTTTTGAATTTTAATCACTGGTATACAAAAAAAGAAACAATCCAAAATAATAATAAAATGCATTTAAATCAGAAGAAAAAATTTCATATACATACTATACTGTAAATGGGAATGGTAATGGTGGTGAACACACACTGAGAAGTGGTCTGTGTACTCACAGAATACACCAGGTAGTGTACAGTACAGGTATGTACTGCTAAATATTAACACTAAATTAACCTTCTTGTCACTAGGAAAGATTAATAATGTAGTGAATTAAACGGCAAAATGCTATAAAAAGAAGAGGTCAACCAAGAGATATTAACATAATCATGTAAATAAGAGAAAGATATCTTACCATATGGCTCTATTTATAATAATAAATATACAGTGTAACCAAGTGGTGGTAGAGTGTCAATGAAGATATCAACTGCCAGAAGAGGTCAACAGCACTATTCACCTGGGTAGAGCACCAACAAGCAGAATCCAACAAATGACCACATTTGGAACTTAAAGTGAAATGCAATCACAAACATTAGCAACTTTATTGCAGCAAGTAAAAGTGTGCGCTGAAATCCATACAACCCATGATCAATACAGGAAACCTAGAAGACAAGCAGAACTGAAACACACTGGCTACATGGTTGTTTAAGTTAATGACTAATTCAGAAGCAATGAAGATAAAATTAGTGACTGTTGGCTGAATACTGCAAAACTAAATACAGCTTCTCCTCACTTAGCAATGTACTCATTTACCAACCACTCAGACATATGACCAGCTCTCCAACTAGTATGCAAACCTAAATAATGTATATAAGAGCTGATTTCCTCTATTCTCTTTATTACAGTATACAGCAAACTACTGTATAAACATTTAAAAATATACCAGAAATGTTATATATGGTGACATTAAAAAAATATCTAAAGATGGTTGACACAAACCCACTACCAGTATAATATGCTCCTCACTTAATGACCAATTCACTTACCGACCTACTCTTAGGAACATAACCCAATCGTTAAGTGAGGAGAGATTGTACTATATAAGGTACACTAATAAATATGAAAAAGTCCCTCAAGGGAGGTTCCTTGATGCTGGTGAGGGGTTCTTGATCTAAGGAATTGGATCTGTGTTCCAGTTCCCTGACTGAATACCTTCCATTCCTCCCTCCAAGCACTGTATAATCCTACGAGTTTAACGCTTCCCCATGATTATAATAATAATCAAAAGAAAGATAAATGTATTGCTAAATTATGAAGTCACTGTATCAGTGTTAGTGAGTGCTAGTAAAGAATCATAGGTCATAGTAATTATATAATAGTTTAAAAATTTACTCTAGGATATCCATAACAGAAACTATAGGGAGAAAAGACATCAATATACCACTCTAGAATTGTGGTCAAGAGCGATAATGCGCACACAGAGTGTTAGTACATGGGAACAAAAGACATTCATAGGCACATTTTAGGAGAACAACACCTAATCTTCAGCACTAATCTATAATCTGTTTAGAAAAAAATACTTGAGGTTTACTGGTGTCTGTCTGAATTGTAAACAAAGCCAGTCCCAGCCTTACTGGATATTTTTCTTTCTTTCTTTTTTTACACACTTTTGGCTGACCTTTTATAAAAGAAATAATTGAAAGTTAATGTATTTAGATAATTGGGAATGGACTTGTTGACAGATAGGTTTGTGAAAAATGGAGTGAACTAGAGAACAAATGAAGGGAAAAAAAAGATAAGTGGTGTGTTAGGGTATCTGTGGAAAGAAAAAAAAATTATCTCAAGAGGTAAAACAGACGTATATATCAGAGTACAGTAGGGCCCCACTTTACAGCTTTTTTGCCTTACGGCATTCTACTAATACAGACATTTCAAATTGTGACCAAAACTTGCTAATACGGCTCCCCACCTGACTCTAATATGGTCACCATGCGCCACTTAGTTGGTTTACATTCCCCATTAGCTCTGCGTCTCTCCATTATATCTGGAAACTTTCCAAAACTTCAAGTATTTTAAAAGTTACAGTATTCATATTTTTATAACAGGTCTCCCTCAACATTCAAGAGGGTTTTGGGGATCAAGAGCCTCGCAAATGTTGAAAAACCGTGAATGTTTGGTGCCCCAATACAGTGGACCCCCGCCTTACGATGACATCGCGTTACGTTAAATCCGCCATACGATACATTTGAATGCAAAAATTTTGCCTCGCCTCGCACGATTCATCCGGGACGGGTCCCACGTGTGGCCTCAGCTGCCCCGTGGGTGCCAGTGTTTACAAGCCAGCCAGTGCAGTCGCATCCATGCATACATTCAGTACATTTCATATTATCACAGTGTTTTTAGTGATTGCAGCTGCAAAATAAGTCACCATGGGCCCCAAGAAAGCTTTTAGTGCCAACCCAGTGGTAAAAAGGGTGAGAATTAGTATGGAAATTAAGAAAGATTTTGAAGGGTTTGGGGCTAACCCTGAGAAGCCTATGCCAGTTATGGAATCCATTGTGCCCACTTCAAAGATTAAGGAAATGTCTGCAAAGTGGGTTGAAGTGCAAACTTTTATGGATGAAAATCACCCTAACACAGCTATTGCAAGCTGTGCTGGTGACTATTACAATGACAATGTTGTGGCCCATTTTAGGCAAATCTTAAAGGAATGGGAGGTACAGACCACTATGGACAGATTTGTTGTGTGACAGAGGTCCAGTGACTCTCAAGCTGGTCCTAGTGGCATTAAAAGAAGAAGGGAAGTAACCCCGGAAGGGGATTCCCCTTCTAAACAATAACAACTTCCACATTCTCCCCTCCTCCCATCCCATCAATCATCACCAGATCTTCAATAAAGGTAAGTGTCATGTATTGTATTCTTAGTAGAGTATTAACTGTGCATGTCTTCTTAAGTTTGTGTGTATTAAAATTAATATTTCATGTGGTAAAAATTTTTTTTTTTCATAGTTTGTGGTGTCTTGCACGGATTAATTTGATTTCCGTTATTTCTTATGGGGAAAATTAATTCGCCATATGATAATTTCGTCTTACGATGAGCTCTCATGAACGGATTAATATCATAAGGCGGGGGTCCACTGTATATTGTAGGAAAATCTAATACAATACTGCTTCCTTAACCTATTGAACCATAAACAATCATAAAATACATGAAAACATCGTAATAGTGAGGATATATTACCAAAAACAAATGGTGGGAGCTCCATTGTTGGTGCTAGGGAGGATAGAAGTAAGACAGGGAAACATGCACCAACAGGGAATACAGTCACAGAAACCCAAGGCAAACGGAAACCAAGCCTGTGCACATACTATGCACTCGGTATCTGCTGGCATGGGAAATCTGGAAAAACAGATGGGACGTGCAACTATGACCACCCTAGGAAATGCCATGCCCATATGACAACAGGAAAATGCAAACTCCCTTCCTGTAAGCTTTTTCACACCTGAACTGTGTACCCTTCAGTACAGGAAAGACTGTGCTATAACTTAAATTGTCAGGCATACCATCTAAAGGGGACAAAAGATACAAAACATCCAGGCCATGGGAAAACCTGGGTAGCCACAGCCACTCAAGAGGAGAGAGGTTTTTTAGTGCCAGGAAGGAAAAAAAACTGGCAGGAAATGGCAGAAATCGTACACCAAATCCAGTCATTTCCTGGAGTGGAACCACAGTCGATGGCCTCCACTCCAAACCAACAGATACAGATACTAATGCCGGAAAAAAAATCCCCCCCCAGTACCAACAATACCACCAGTCCGATAACATTCTTCTTTGCAAATATACAGGGTCTAAGCCAGCAACAAACAACAAAATACCTTTCATCCGTGGACTGCTTGCAGAGGCAAAGGCAATGTTCGCGGCTTTCACTGAGACCCACATAAAGGATCACTTGGACAACGAAATATGGATCCCAGGTTACAACCTATACAGATGTGACAGAGTGAACAGGCAAAAGGGGGGGGTTGGCCTGTACATTGCAGAGTCACTTGTTTGCACAGAACTGCTAAATGCCTCAAATGATGTAGTGGAAGTTTTAGCAGTAAAGGTCGAGAACCAAAACCTAGTCATTGTGATAGTCTACAAGCCTCCGGATGCAACATCCCAGCAATTCCAGGAACAGCTGTTAAAAATTGACCACTGTCTGGAAAACCTTCCAGCTCCTGCACCCAACATCTTGCTCCTGGGGGATTTCAACTTAAGGCACCTAAAATGGAGGAATATAGCAAATAATATTGTTGCAGTAATAACACCAGGAGGCAGCTCTGATGAAAACTCCCTCACCGAGTTTTAAATCTCTGCACAAAAAATTCAATTTAAACCAGCAAAAAAAGGCCTACTAGACGGAAATACCTAACCCATCTTCACAAACAATGATGATCTGAAAAAATAACACTACAAAAAAAATATACTCAATCACAACAAAATTTGAGTTCAGTCATGATCGCGGAGCCCCAGACCGCATAAGGAGATTAGTCACGAGGGACTTCCCCAAAATTTAAACTTCAATAACAAAAACATAAAGGGGCCAAGTAAACCAAGTCCTAACCGAAAAGCTGGGAAATAACTAAGAAACACGACCCCAACTTATCCTAGAAAGATTAACTCGGTGGCACTCGATGTATGCACAAGGCTTATTCCCTAAAAAAAAGGAGGAGTAGATGTAAAACAAAAAGAGACAGGCGCTCCCTTTACGGCACAAAAAAGAAAACAGAGGGGCAAAAGGGGTCAATATATCTGAAATGCGAGGGAACACGGTCAGAGAAAAGCAAGCTTTTCGAATTTAACCTAAAAGAATCCTTTAGGAGTAGGAATCGCGGGAAGAACTAAAAGCCAAAATGAAATCGAAAAAAACCCCAAAAGTATTTTTTCTCCTATGCCAAATCAAAATCGGAAAAAACCCATTTTGGGGGGGCCCCTACTTAAACAAGAGGTCCTACACAGAGACAACAAGGAAATATGAGCCCCAAAG